ATTTGCACGGTTAAGTCCCGTCATGGAAGCACTTGGAGGAAACATCTCCACAGAGCTCTTACCTCTGTTTATTTGCAATCCTGTTTCTGCACTGGTGGGAAGGGGGAAGGTGGGTGTTTGTGGGGGGGGGGGCAGGGAAGGGGCTAGCAAATCGGAGTATAAACAAAACTGCTTTCAACGTAAAGAGTTGCTTCTAAACCGTAGATCAGAAGGTACCCTCAGTTACCACCCCACCGTGCTCAGAGTGTCTGGTAGTTCTGGAAAGAATGGAGGGAAGGCATTGCCCCAGCCGCCAGCCTGTCCAAACTGTGCAGACGTTAAGCGACTTCCCCAGCTTTTCACGTCAGCAAGAACTGCTGCTTATCTACTTCCGTTGCGAGTTACCATTTCGTTTGGAGTCGGTTATGGTTTACCTGCTTCTTCACACAATCCTATTCAAAGTCTTAAAAATTTCACCATCCAGGTCATCTGATTCAACCTTCTGATGTTACAGGTGAGGAAACCGGCAACAGGCATGTCTTTTTAGACTAATGGGACTTCCTTTCTGGTCCACGTGTGAGGACTCACCCCTGGATGCTACTCTGTATTCTTGTCCTTCTTTTCCCCCAAACTCTCCTCTCCCCGCCAACCACCTTTGGCACACTGGAGGGCAAAATGGCCTTCCTGGTGGGAGCCAGAGAAACTAAGGTGAGAACTGAAAAACATCTGAACTGTAACGCTCTTCGCCATCAAGCTTCTGTGGAATGTGCGCTTGTGAGATTTTCTTCCAGGGGTCAAGCCCACTCTTTCCTATTAATGATTATAAATAACCCTTTAAGATATTTTTCTTATAATAATTAAAAATCTGATCAACTATTCTAAAACAATTAATCTGTTCGGAAAAAATCATTTCAACTGGTTTTAGGCGGTCATGTAGACGTAGGGCAGTTAACAATCTACATGCTCAGCTTTAACTGGTTTTAGAGGTACAGAGTTGCTAAGACTTCCCCTGCCCCTGTTTCCAGATGCCCCCAAAGCCAATGGCCTGTGAATAATACAGGGAAGCCACAAAACCCAAAAGCCAGTGTGACGTCAAACAGGAACACAATTTTAAGAAACCAATGTTTACTTCAGTCATTACCTCGTCAGATGAAGGAATAGCTACCCACAGACAGTCTCACTGTGGCTCAAGAAACCTGAGGAGTATAAAACATGAGTAGGTCATGGGTTCTGTTCAAACCTCCCCTGACCTCCTTCACTGCAGAGGCCCCCTTCGGGTGACTTTACACCCCAGAGTGACAGGAAACCAGAAAACTGGGCTGGATAGGATCTTAACCAAGCTCATCAAAGACAGAAACTACTTACTTTTAAAACCCTCATGAGATTAACTGAATGTAATAATAAACATTTGATATCATTTTACATCCAAAAATCATCTTAAAAGAAATGAGAATTAAAGTCAGAAGACAAAACAATACAGAAATGTTAGGGTGTGGGTGGGGAAGGGGGAGAACAGAAATGGGTTTCCGAGAGCCCAGGAAGAGCCCACAGGGGCTGAGAGAACAGGTTTCTAACTAGAGGGTAAGTGTTGGAAAATAGGCTTTAATGTTATATTTCAGTGTAGAGTAACTAACGCAACACCATGTGATCAGACCAAAGTATCTAAGTAAATAACAATTCCTTGAAAAGGGACCAATATGAAGGGAATGCGAAGAGAATGAAAAAATAGAAGTATCTTCCTATGGGATAAGATCAATAATTATAATTATTCAGTGTTTCCATCAGAGCCTCTTCCCACATGGTCTTCGACATACATACCCATCACCTTCACAGCCAGATGAATGCTGTAACATACTCTCATGTCTAAGTTCAAGGCCATGAAAGACAGTAGATGCAAAGCAAAGTAAAAATTGTGGCCGGCATTGTCCATTTGCACACCAGATCTCTCTAAGTTGTAAAGACAAAATCTTTATATGTTTAACATTTTATGCAAATATCTCCCATCAGTAGAGTCTGAACACACGGCGGACACAGAGCCAGCTGGGGCCCACAAGAGGACCATACCCTGGTCCCGATCGTGATTTTACACATACGCACACACGTCAGATAACTTCAGCGGACTTCCAAATAAACGTTCAGCCAAACTAGGACAGGGCACTTCACTGTCCCCTTGCCACAGCTGAGCAAATAAGTCAGGGAGAAAAAGGAAACCATCCATGTGTGTTCACAACAACCCGTTCACCATCTTACCTTCATCTCATAAGGAATCTCCTAAAGAGAAATGATTAACAGGACAGGAGCCGTTACAGGAAATAGCCACCTAGGGCCTGAGTGGACACCTACCCTCGTGACTGGGGCGCAGATTGGTGGCAGGTGAGGGCATGAATAGGGGCAATGGTTTCCGTTCTTCTGTTCAAAGTTCCCACTCCACTCCCTCCAGGCAGCCTGCATACTTACTGGCTGTTTAAAACTTTAGACCAAGCCAACCTGCTGACAGACGGTCTTAAAATCAATGACTCCCAATGAAACTTAATTTCCAATTGCCTTGATCTAATAGATGCTATAATGTGCTTTCAGTGGTTGAAATGAACAAACACGTCGGCCTTCCAAGTTGCTGGAGCTCAAAAGAAAGCCCTTCTGATATACAAGGTCAGCAAAACTGATGTAAATGCTTTTCTCTCCTGTTCAGTGTGTGCATATTGTCAAGTTTGGCCGAGAGACTCAAAAGAAAGACACAGCCTTGAGTTGGAGAGGTGATAAGATCCAGGTCCTTAACCATGTGTAAGTGTCCTTGTATATTTTGTTGCTGGTGCATAACCACCCGTCACTCAAACACTGGTTTACACCTGGCCTCCCCATCTTCCATGGTCAAAGTACCCACAGCCATACACCCTCCCACATATGTAGAGATGTTTTTCCATCACGTTCGGTGAGTGCCATGACTACCACTTCCCAAGGAAATGCATTCACAATCCTATGGTACTTGAGTATTCACACACTTAATGGTTTCTACAGTTACATATTCATAGGCAATTATCTAGGAGCATTTTTATTTGCCAAATGCAAAGGATACAGTAAAATCAGTAGACATTTTTAAGCTCTAACAAAACCAATCTGTACCATAAGTCACTTCAAAATTGTGATAATCTCTGAATAACATAGATACAGGTACTTACTATTGCCTGTTATGACTTACAGAATATTCTCGGCCGGGTCCTATCACACTAGGGAATGTGGGAATTTTGCTACTACTGTTAGTACAGGACCTCCAGAACATAGCTTTTTAAATTCTAATACCGCACATTTCCACCAAAAGGACGATAAATGTTTGTTAAAATACAATTCTTATTGCTTTTATAAATGCCAGCCATGCATTCACTAATTATTTGAAAATGGCATAAAATGTATCCAGGTTGTTAAATACCAGGATAATCATGTCAGTTCCCATAGACTTCACTAGTTGCTTGACCAAAAGAACATAGTGTGCACCTCTGAGAGTAACCTCGGGTCAAAACTGAATGCTGAGTATAGAGCCGATGAATTTGTCAGACACCCATGGTGATACCGAATTATTCTCCCCAAAGATGGAAAAATACCAAAATACCATTCAGATAGAATCATTGCCATATTTGAATGTCTTACCAAATGCCATTTTTTTTCAGTAAAATTAATTGAAGAGCTGTACTAACTTTTGCTCTAAGATCACAACTGAGCAAAGAAAGTCAAAACATGGGCAGACACTGAAATACAACCGCTTCTGAGGTGAGTGGGAGACATTGCTCTCACCTGCTTCTATTAAATCCCACTGACCAGGGAGAACCAAAACCAGACCCTTTGCTTTAAAATGCACACAAGCCATGCAAAGGGTTGCAAGGGGACACAGAGATTCATGTCTTATGAGCAGGAAGGACTTTGATGACTTCGTATTTCTTATGACGTCAAAGGAGAAAAGCCAAGGACTCCATTTTGGAGGTACACGCCCAGTCCCCTGGTGCTCCGACCAGCCCCTGCTACCGACCAGGCCACAGGGCTCCCCTCTGAAAAGAAGAGCAACCCCAAAACACAGCTCCTCTCCCTGCCTGGGTTCAGACCTTTCCCCCACAGGCCCTTTCACCTCCCCTTCCACAGCTTAACCGATAACAAAACATTTGCATCTGGTTCATATTTCCTTTGTGTTTAAACTACAGTCCAGAAAAGAACTTGACTAGTTCATTGGGGCCTACTTTCAACCAAATTCAGAATACTGTAAGTGAAATAAAAGGTGTCTGACTGGGTTGCTTTTATGTGGCAATCAGATATCCAAGAATTACTTTTGCTTCCATAGGAAATTTCCCATCTTCACTTCTTCGTTGGTTTGATTCTAGGGAAAGGAGTCCCCAGATGCTTGCAGCACAGCATCTCCCCTCGAGATCAGTCCACCATTAGATCTGCCTCAAGCCTCACCTCCAACTTCGGGAGGATGCAAAGGGCTGCCTGAGCAGATGGGGATTCAACATGACGCAACCCTGAGCATCCCTGGACTGGAGAAGCCTGGGAGAAGCAGCAGCCCTCCTGACGCCCCTTGCCAGCAACACACATGAGGGGACAGCACCAGCACCCACTCTCCAGACCCAGGCGTCCTGCACAGACGTCAGTACAGGCCACTGAACCACAGGACAGTTCGACACCCCCATGTATGTGACAGCAAGGCAGAGGACGGGAAATGGCCAGCCATCCCCAATCCATACCCAGCCTCTTCCAGCCTCCTCTCCCACTCCACCCCACCCTCCCCTTCTCCACACAGAGTTTCAAGTTCACCCAAATTTGGGTCTTCAATGTCAGCCTGATCAGCACATTCCCACTCCCCCCCCCCATTTCCTGGAGGCACATGGAAAATCCCATTTGTGGGGAAAAAAAGTCTACTCAAGTTGCCTTGACACAGGGAGCTACCGAGCACCGGCTGGAGCATTCCTGCAGAGCATCTCAACTCCCAGACCTTCCCTGCAGGCTCCTTTCCTTTCCTCCAGCCCGGCTCTCCCTACCTTCCTCCTGGCTGCCGCCCTCAAAGCAGGCAGTGGGCTCCTCCTCTGGGAGCCCCGACTGTCCTCCACCCTCCAGGGCTTTGCGTTTCTTCGACATCTCTGCCGGGGCTGGGGCTTTGGGGTGTGCTTTCCGCACCCCCAGCCTCCCCCCTCGGAGAGGAGAGTGAAGGTGGGGTTAGGTGGAGGGGAGAGAGACGGGCGAAAGAGGTGGGGAGGAGAGGCCGGGGAGGGAGATGGCTGGAGAGGAATTGCTGCTGAAGGAGGGAAGGCACTTTGGGGAAGCAGGAACCAGGCGGGCAGGCGGCGCAGAGAGCCTACAATCAGTTCAGCAGCAGTCCTCCGTCTAGGGGGCTCTCTGCTCTCTCTCTCTCCCTCTCTCTCCCTCTCCCTCTCTCCCTCTCTCCTTCCTCCTTCCTCTTTTTCCTTCCACTAGAAGGGTAAGCCCAGAGGGAAAAAGACACCAAAACACCAGGGAGGAGAGGCTCTTTGGGCGCTCAGCTGATTTCTTTCTAATTTAGGAGGGGGATAGCGTGGGTGCTGGGTATGGGGACTTCTAGCCCTGTCTGTAAAGGACTGGTGTCCTGGGAAGGGAGGTGTTGGGAGGGGGGAGGGTGTTAGTGGTGTTTGGAAGGGAATATTTTTAGTGGATTACAAGGAAGATTGGGTAGAATGCTGCGGGATGCAATATAGTGATGCCTTCAGGCGCTAGGGGCACAGGACCCCCTCCTCCTCTGTGACATCATTTGAGCTTTTGCAAAAGGGGTTGGGGGAGGTGCAGGGAGGACCAAGGAGAGAGGCAACAGAGGCCCGAGGCAGAAAGGGGAGGGGAGGGGTCTTGTCCCCATTCAGAACCGAGGAAGGAGGCCCAGAAAGGAGGCAGGAGGGTGGGGGCCTCCTCCCAAGGCCCCCTTGGGTCTAGCCTTGCAGGGGCGGCCGTTTGCAGCTGGAGGGCAGCCTTGCAGGGAACTTGGAGCTGGAAACTCGGTCCAAGAAGCAGTAGCCGGAGGCAATCGCTCAGGCGCTGGGCTCCGCTGCCCTCCCTCTCACCTCCTCTGCCACCCCTGAGTCTTCTGGTTTTATCCACTCAGGTCTCTTTTCTCACCTCCACTCATCACCCCTCTTCCAAAACAGTTATGTCCCCAAACAACACACACACACACACACACACACACACACACACACACTTTCTTATTGCCGAAAAGGATGGAGGGAAACGATGGTAACTTTTTTTAAATGGTTGGATTGGAGGTTTTCTGGACTCTCAAGGGTTAAATAATAGGTACAAGGAACAGTCCACTTACCGCCGAAGTATGCGAAGCGCCTGTCTGCTTTCCGCTTCAAGTTCACACACTGGAAAAAGAGAGAAAAAGCAAAGAGAAAAAAAAGAAAAAGCGGGCGGGCCCGGAGCCCCGTGGGTCCAGGGCTCCATTGAGAACTGCGCACAACAAGTTGCCAGTGAGCCCAGGTGGCCCAAGTTCATGACCTCTCCAAGAACACTCGCTTCTGCTCCACTCGGCAGGCATATTCCAGAGGCGTGGGGCAGTCTGCCTTTCGCGCTGATCTCCCCTGAAAAGGAGCAGACAACTCTAAGCGGTGTGTGGCATTCCTCTTTCCCTCTTGTCCATCTGGGGGTCTCCGGGAAAGCTGCGCTGAGCGCTCTAGGCACCAAGGAAGACCGGTCCATTTCAGCTCATCCTCCCGCGGCCGCAACTTTGGACCCACACACCTACAGAGAACCTAAGTGCGAGTGTGCGTGTGTGTTTGAGTGTGTGCGCGTGAGTGTGCCAGCCTGTGTGCCCGCGCGCACCGGGCTTTGGGGCGCATGTGCTCTCGGGAACGACTCTCCCTGGCTGCCTGGAACTTGGAGAGTTTTCCTTTAAGCCGGAGCTGCTGCTCGGACACCCCCCCCCCCCCCCCCCCCCGCGTCCAACAGGAGGCGATGACGTCTGTAGCCTCGTTGCCAGACAGTCCCCAGGCTGCCGCTGCCGTTCATTGACAGGAGCGGGCGCTCCGACGTCAGCAGCCGGACCTTTGGCAAAGCTGCTCGGGCGGAGACGGCTCCCACCCCCGCACCTGCCAGCCCGCCCGCGGGGGGAGGAGGGGCAGTAATGAAATCAAAGTCGCTGGGGAGGGGCCCGGCGAGGCTCCGGGGCTCGAGGAGGAGGGGACTCCGCTCTGCCCTCTTTATCCTGGAGCTCCAGAGTTTATAAATAGCGCTGTCTCCAGCCAGACTCGACCCCTCCGCTGCAGCCCCCGCGGTACCCCCGCCCCTGCGCCTGTCACTTCGCGCTGGACTCGCTCGGCCGGGAGGGAGGCGCGGAGGGGGCGGGGAAGCAGGGAGTGGAAACGGACGTTGTTTCCTTTCCCTCTTCCCATTCATAGATTCGGTTTGAGTCTTGGGGCCGCCGCTCGGCTCCAGGAGCCGCAGTGAATGGATGGACAACCGCGCGCGGGGACCACTGGGTGGGCAGGGTGTCGCCCTCGCGGGAGGCGCTCCTCCCACGCGGGGACTTGCTCCCTCGCCTAGGGGCGGGTGGGAGGACCCCAAACGACCATCCTTAAGAGACCCAGGGCCTGCCCCCTCTGGCTCCTCCAGCCCCGGAGTTCTTTTCTGCCCCTGCTGGAACGCAAACCGCAGAATCGAGCTGCGCTCGGCCCCAGCACCATGGAGAGCCGGGACGCGGACCAGCCTGGGCCACGCGGCGGAGGGGAGCGGCCATGTGGCGCAGGGCAGTGGCTGGGGCCGAGGGTGTCACCTCGCTGTGCGCACCCTTGGCTGCACAAGCCGGCGCGCTCTCCGCTCCCGAACCCCATGGCGCGGCGTGGGGTTGCGGAGGACCGCAGGGCGGGTGCCCCACCAGAGCCCCGCTCTCAGGGGTCGTGGGCGCGCGTCTCCCGCCTGCTGCTGCTGGGAGCTGAGGGATGGCGAGGCCCGCGCCGTCCCGGAGCGGGACGCGGCGCCCCCGTTTGGGCGCTGCCCCCGCTTCTCGCTCAGGATCCCGCAGGATGGAGTTCTGAGGCGCCCTGCTCCCCGCTGGAGCTTGATGGACGCGCACGAAAGCTTCCATGGGACCCAGAGCACAGTGTGGCCGAGGGAACCCGAGAGCGCCTTTGCTACCCCAGGACCCGTGCGCGCGGTCTGGGTGACAGCAGAAGCCCAGGAGTGTGGAGACCGACCCGCAGAGCCCTTCAGAGCCCGGTTTGGCCCAGGCTGTTTGAGAAGCTGCCGCTCAGGGGGCCTTCTCCCCGTGCGCCTGCTCCCCACCCCCGTAAAGGCCACCCTCCACCTGGGCCCTGGCCGCAGCCCCTCTCGCTGCTAGAGGTGACCACATCTTCTCTGCTGTTCCCACCGCTTTCTCTCCCCTTTACAACAAACAGCTCCCAGCAGTTGCCCTAGACTCTTGTCTCTGGTTTCTCTCGTCTCATTGGCTCTTGAACCTAGGCCTACAAGACCGTCTTAGATGTTCTAGCTCAGCGACTCAGCAAAAGCCCGCTCTCCCCCAGGTCAGCGGCCACCCCCGGCTGCTCAGTGCAAAGGTCAGTTCTTAGCCCTCCCCTTGCCTGACTTCCCGGCCGAGTGGGTCAGAGTCTACGGTTCCCTCCTCCAATGGACACACCCTTCACTTGGCTTTCAAGACAGCACACCCCCTGGTTTCCATCCTACCTTTCTGCCCATTCCCTCTGGGTTACCTTTGATGAATCTGCATCCCCCCAACTTCTTGACGTTGGAGTGGCCCACGGCCCCCTTATCTTCTCTCACCACCTGCCCCCTTGGCGGTCTCACTCGGCCTCCTGGTTTTGAGTCCTGTCTCAGTGCTGAAGACTTTGCATTTACACATTCAGCTCAGACCTCTCCCCTAAATTTTAGACTCATGTCTCACTAGCACCTCCACCTGGGTGTCTAGAAAGCATCCGAAACTTAGGAAGGCAAAGTGGGTTCTTGATCTTACCCTCACCCCAAACCTGCTCTGCCCACAGTTTTTCCCACCTCCGTCAACAGACATTTCAGCTCCACTCCCTGGTCCCCAGCCCCACTGGCCGTTTATAGAACCCATTCAGAACTCTGCGTCCGCGGATCCTCTCCAGACCTTCTTCTGCTAAAGATGCACAGAACTCGCTCTCTTCCTCTTTCTCACACTTACTCTGGGGCCTCCTCGGAGAAGCCTCCAGAGGACACCTCACTTAAAACTTCAACTCACTTCCTGTCCCCCATCCTTGCTTCACTTTCCTCTTGGTGTTCCTTCTGGCTTACTTGTTTGCCTTGTTTATTCTATCTCCCCACTGAAATGCTAGCTTCACGAGGACAGGGAGTTTTGCTTTGGCTTAGAATTGCATTAAAAACTAGACTTAGCCTCACAAAGTTCCTCACCTCACCACACATTCAGGAGATGCTGGATTTGTTTGGTGACAAATAGAAGCAGGTGAGCGTAGAGACTGTCCGGGGGCATTTCTCCACCACAGTTGTCCCCAAGTAAACTCTCCATCTGAGAGTGTGGGAGCCCCACCCGAGGCCACTGTTAGGCCTCTGGGTGACTCCATTCTCTCCCCACTCACTTTCTTATTCCATTGCTTCTTTCTCTTTTTTTTTCTCCCTGTTGGCCTTTTCTTTGCTGTCCAAGCCTTAAGCCTGCCATGGGCCACAGGGAGGTAAAGGGGAGCTGAGCTGCCCTGGGTCCTCAGAGACCACAATCCTTCCCTTCAGCCCTGTTTTTTTTTGTTGTTGTTTTTTGTTTGTTTGTTTGTTTGCGGTACGCAGGCCCCTCACTGTTGTGGCCTCTCCCGTTGCGGAGCACAGGCTCCGGACCTGCAGGCTCAGTGGCCATGGCTCACGGGCCCAGCCGCTCCGCGGCATGTGGGATCTTCCCGGACCGGGGCACGAACCCGTGTCCCCTGCCTCGGCAGGCGGACTCTCAACCACTGCGCCACCGGGGAAGCCCCTTCAGCCCTGTTTTAGTGTTCACACCCCTTCTCATCCAGCAAGTAAATATCCTGAAACTGTAGAACATCCACTCTATGTGCCAAACATCATATTCATTCAGCAGCCACTGAGCTCTTGGGGCCAAAGCTTGAAGGCCCAGATCTCCCCGCAGGCTCTCTGATGGGGGAGGGGAAGGGGCACAGAAGGGGCCCCGGGCTGGGTGCTGTGCAGGAGGTGGCCTTGGGGGCGGAGCCCCACCCAGGAGGCCGGCCGGGGCCAGAGGCAGGAGCCAGCGGTGGTTCGGAAGGCCCAGTGCCCCAGGCTCAGGCCCCTCTGAGGAGCTGGAGGTGTATTCTGAAGGCCTGGATGGGTTTTCAGAAAGGAATGAAATAAAGTCCTATTTGTGTCAGGAAGACAACTGGGGAGCGGTGGAGAGAGGCTGAGACCATAGACAGGGAGAGCAGCTGAGAGGCTGTTTCACAGATCCGGAGTTGAAGGAGTGGGCAGAGCTGGCAGTGTGCGTGAGAGGATGTAGGAGGTGAGGAAGACGGAAGTAGTTCTAGAATGCATACGTGGTGGCCCATCTTCTGAAGTAGGATCTGAAAATTCAGCCGAACTGTGCTGAGGATTCCAGGGAGCTTGACGGCAAGGGGCAGACAGGTTGGCTCCACTGGATGCTACAAATAAGTTCCCTTTAAGATCTGTCACCCACCTTGCACACCTGGAAACTCCATGTTACCTGCCAGCCGGAGCAGATGGGGGTTGGAGGCTCTCGGGTGAAGACTCATGGGACACTGGTGTATAAGCCAGGCCACCTCGTTCATCCCAGGGAGGAGAGTCTGTGAGGGCTGGGCTTCCCTCTTCCTTTATCCCGGCCACCCCTTCCCACGAACACATCAGATTACAGGACACTCTATGGGCTTCAAGGCCACTTTGTCTAAGCTGTGGAAAGGGGTGATGAACCGGTGGTGTCGGCCAGCGAAAGTCACATGGGCTCTGAGGGGGACCCCCTTCGAGACTGCAGTCAGGACGTCCCAACGGTGACCTGGCTTCCTCGGGGCGCCCTCCACATTTCTGCTTCCAAAATGACCGTTGTCCTCCGGACACCTTGAGGAGAGCCATGAGAATAAAAGGCTCTGAGGGAGCCTGGGGCTTCTCCTGACCCCTGTGAGGCTCAGCTTGTGAGTGGAGCTGCGTCCCACAGAGACTTTCCATTCCCCTGGTTCTTGGAAGAGCATTTCCAGGTTCTTCTCATTCCGAGAAGAAGTGAGATCTTTGGAGAACGGAGCGTTATTTCTCACCACCTCCAAGGACAGTCTGGGGAAGACAAGCAAAATCAGAGTAGGCTTCCTGGCCTGCTTGGCGAGCACGGGTGGGATCTCTGGTCCAACCAGCTGAGCACAAGCATCTCTGTGCCTGGAAGAATTTCTAAGTTGTTGGAAATGATTTTCAAACGGGTATTGCAGATGTAGAAAGTCTGAAAGTAGCTTATTTAACACTGTGAATGGGTTAAATAGAGTCTAATCACTGATTTGCAGAGCTGGAAGGAACATTCAATTAACTAATGAGACTAATCCCCTAGCCCCAAAATGCTGTGCTATAAATGAGGAAAATGAGGGTAAATAATGTAACACAGCCAGATAGTAGTGGAGCTCTGAGTAGGCTCTTTTTTTTAAAGGAAGGACAGTATAGCTGTGGATTGTGTTCAGATTTTGAAACCGAGCATATAAATGCAGAAATTTTAGTTATGTCATATCTGTTCCATAAGTAGCGTGACTTAATTATCCTAAATATTTCATCTATTTAAATTTCATCATTCACATTTTTTAGACTTTTACTTGGAAATAACTTCAAATTTACAGAAAACGTGCAAGAATAAAAATGGTACAAGGCTCCTCCATGCACCTGTTACTCAGACTCTCCTCCTG